ACCTTACCCCCCGAAGTCCTTCTGGGGAGCAAGCCGCACGTGGTCCCCACGGTGCTGCCTGCCACCTTCTACACCCCCTTCTCCCGCTTCTACTCCCAACCCCGCCCCCACCGCTCGCTGCCCCGCCGGCGCCCCAGCACCTTGCCGCTCTCTGCGCATTACGACGGGGCGGGTCGCTCTGTCCACTTCTACCGGGGGTCCTAGGCCTGAGACCTACTTCGGACCAGAAGCCTCTGCCAGCAAATTCAAGCTGCTACACCCCGACTTCATCAGCTACCTGACAGAGAGGTGCGTGCGGGGCGCGGAACGAGCCCCCGTCGGTCCCCCACACCCACCCTGCGGACAGCGGCTGCCCGCCGGGACCCGCAGACCTGCAGGCCGTAGCTGGTGGCACCGTCTGCTGCCTCGGTGGGGTGGCGGGCTGCGGTCAGCCAGGCCCGTGGGGTGCGGGCGGAGACCCCGGGAGTCAGGCCTGTGCCCGGCGCCTTCACAGGCGGCGGCTCGGGGTGGGCGTGGGGCCGAGCGTGGCCCGGCTGTGGCGACAGTCGGCCGCACGTGAGGCCCAGTCACAGGCCACCTGCTCCCGGTCCCCTCTGCCACCCTCAGCCCCTCCCTCCTGCCAGAGGCTCTCGAGGTCTCACTGGAGGGTGGGTGCCACTGAGCACCCTACAGGGCGTCGGGAGGCCGCACAGAAGGGAATGACCCGCCCCAAATGCCGACAGGGCGGCCGAGGAGCCGGGCGGTGGCCCAAAGCCGCATCCCAGGCCAGAGTACAGGCGAAAGGCGCCACGAGTGCTGGACACACGGGGCCGCTGACGGGCCCTGGCGGAGAGCCAGGCGGATTTCCGGGAGGCCCAGCTGTGCCCAGCCGAGGCCAGGCCCCTGGTGACCATACCGGGGCCTGTGTCCACATCCCCGGTGCCTGCGCCTCGCACACCTGGGGCCCGGCCAGCACCCGGTGACTGCTGGCCAAAGTCGGGGTAGAGAAACTCGTCACCTGTCCAGGCACCAGGGAGCCCTAGCCAGGGCCGCGGCGTGGTGGCTGCGGGGAGGGTGGGCCCGCAGGGCCAGACTTCCCGGGACGGGGGCAGGCCAGTCCTTTCTGCCCCCTGGTGCTCTGCAGCCGAAGGGTTCTGCCCCAAGGCAGTCACCGGGGTCTTCCCATGGACACTGGTGGGTGGAGGCCGGGGCCAGAGGCCCAGCCTGCTTACTAAGTGAACAGTGGCCATGCCCGTTGCTTCCAGGTTTTTGAAATCAAAGTTGATCACAAATTTTAGAGACCTGTATATGCCGAGTACTGGCGCCCTCATGCTGCTGACAGCTTTGCACACCTGTGACCAGGTAAGAGGCCGCCTCTGGGGCCCGTGGCAGCAGTCTGGGTGGTAGTGGGATCTGGCGTGGTCCGTGAGCCCCCACACAGCCAGGCCTGGGCGCTGGGCCTCTGTCCTCCAGCTGCAGGAGGGGCCTGGTCTAGGGAGGGTCTTGGCGGGAGCCGACTGACCCCAGGGCTGCCCCACCGTCACACGCCCCAAGCCCCTGCCCAGTCAGTGTCGGGCCACGGCACATGAGCAAATGGTCTGCTGACGACAACTTGAGATGTGGGGATCTGTCATGGCACCTTCTAGAATGGGGACAGGGTGCAGGTTTAGCTTTCACAGGGCGGGCCTGCGCCTTCTGAGCGTCGGGGCGCCGCCCCATACAGCCAGTTTAAAGCCGGGGTCTCCCCATGGGCTGGGAAACCAGGCGGCGGGGGCGCCTGCTTCCGCCCGGCTCATGAGCCGGAGGCTTCGGAGCCACATCCGAGCTCAAAACCTGGGCCGGCGGCGCATTCGCCATCAGTTCCACCCTTTGTAAATGGGGGTCACGCCTCAGACGTCTCAGGCTGGGGTGCCCAAAGTGCCCGGACGCTGCCGGTCGGGGTGGCTCGGGGCCGGAAGCACGCGCCCGACGCCGGCTCTCTGTCCAGGTCAGTGCCTACGGTTTCATCACCCGCAACTACCAGCAATTTTCCGACCACTACTTCGACAGAATAAAGAAGCCGCTGATATTCTATGCCAACCACGACCTGTCCCTGGAGGCGGGTCTGTGGCGGGACCTGCACGCGGCCGGCATCCTTCAGCTGTACCAGCGCTGACCGAGCCTGCTGCTCCGCACAGGCCTCGGGGGGCCCGTCTCCCCTCAACCCTACTACCTTCGCAGAGGACCCTGAGGTGGACTATACACCTGAATACACCTGGGCACCCCACCTGGCCTTGGCTCACTGAAGAACCCCCAGGGTGCCCCACCCAGCCTTGGCTCACTGAAGAACCCCTTCTGTTGAAGAGCCCCTCCTGGGCCCGACACAATTCCCAAACTTGACCAAGCAGTGGCCGCTCTGGTGGGGGTAAGCCCAGATGCCCCCAGGCCCCACACAAGGGCACTGCCATGGCTGGTGGCAGGCAGTGCCCAGCCGCTCTCGGAGGGCCTGTGGCCAGGGCTGGGTCGTCAGGCTCCGTGCAGCAGAAACCTCCGCGGGCCGCGCACTCACCCAGCCCTACCAGCCCAGCTCACCTGGATCCAAGAACCCAACCAGCTTCGGCCCCACAGGCAAGTGGGGTGCCAGGATGTAAACAGGATGTAAACAGGATGTAAACAGAAGCTGAGCCCCACAGGCAAGTGGGGTGCCAGGATGTAAACAGGATGTAAACAGGATGTAAACAGAAGCTGAGCCCCACAGGCAAGTGGGGTGCCAGGATGTAAACAGGATGTAAACAGAAGCTGAGCAGCTGCGAGTGGACGCAGCGTCATCACTGCTCGGGCACCGCTCAGGTGCTAGCGTGACGCCTGCAGGGGTGTCTGAGGGCCAGCTGCCCGGGAGGCGCCCACGGGCCGCCCCTCAGATGTGCTGCCCCCACCTCCGCCCCCAGGACATCGGAGAACCCTTGCTGTCACGCTGGGCTTCAATAAATCAGAAGCAACTTCACGGCCGGAGGCTCATTTGACCATATGTAGATGCTGGCAGGCCTGAGCCCCGGGACCTGCTGTCCAGACCCGACTTTAGTCTGAGGCACTAGACTGGGGTACCAGGTTGGGTTCCCCAAGGTGTGGCTGGCAAGATCTCCCAAGCAAGGCTCAGCTGGACAGGTCAGCAGTGTCCAGGGCCCGTGCCTGGCTCCAGGTTGACCCTACTTGCGTGGCCCGCTAGAGGGACGAGCCCAGCGAAGCAGGGCCGGGACAGCCCGCAGGGTTTACAGGGAGCTCGGCCACCGGCACAAACGAGGAAAGGCCCCTTGGCTGGCTCTACCTCGGCAGCGCCAGGGTGTCCTTGGCGAGCGAGGCCAGCAGCGCCCGCGTTTGTCAAACTGGCCAGGAAAGGGCATGGCTGGATGTGAAATACACGGTGCCCAGGCTGGTGCCCTTCAGTGGGCAACTGCCGCCGGGGGCCCAGGGTGGCCCCAACCCAGGCCCCCTAATTGTGTCCCTTCTCATTTCCACATCTGCCGCTCTCGGCACCTTTGCCGGCTGTGAGATCTGAGCAGTGCGAAAGCCGTTAGTGGTTTGCCGCCCACAAGGGGCAGTCTGCACCGTGGGAAAGCCGCCTGCCCTCACCCAGGGGGGGAGGACGTGCCCCGAGTGACCACAACGTGACATGCTCTCCCAGGGTTTCGCTGATGCCCACACGCTGGTGCATCAGTCTGAACTTTATTCGTGCTTCAGAACTCAAACCCAAGGTCCCCGACTTCACAGGAAATCCCCGAGCGCCCCGGTAGAGCGGCCCCTGTGCTGGGCAGGTCCCGTCGAGCGCCGCCAGCGTGGAGTCCTCACTCCCTGACCTCGCCAACAGCGAGACCCTCAGGACAACCTCGAGTCGCAGGACTCTTTAGCTACTGTTGACAACGAAGCCTAAGAGCTCGTGAGTGACTCATCTTGGGGCCCAGCAGGAGAGGGTGTGCAGGCCCCACCGGTGGGCGTAACCTGTGAAAGGAAAGAACCACCGATTAGCAGTCAGAAGGCTCAACAAAGCTGAACTGACCGAACGGGGTAGAGGCGGCGGCCTGGAGGCGCTGTCCGCGCCAGGGCACTCAAGGACAGCGCCCCCATCGGGCAGGTGGAGCCCAGAGCCCCGCACAGCAACCGTCCCGGGGCCCAGCCCTCTGGTAGAAACTGCTGACGTCACACCTACGGCTTGCTGAAGGCCCCCAGAAGCAGAGCAGCCCGGAACCCCCACGTCCTGTTCCTGTTTCACGCGCCGGCTGTAAGCCGCTGGGCCAGGCACCGGCTGCTGCCCCCATTTCACCCCAGCCCAGCTCTAGTTTCCTCAGTGACCGCCAGCTATGTGGCCCTGAGGATAAAGAACCTGCACACTGCCCCCCTCTCCCAGAGAAGGCGCCTGCGCCCACTTGGGAGCTGGCACGTGCACGGGAGCGAAGCCAGGCCACTCCGCCACGGAGCAGACCCACGCCAACCCTGCTCACCGGCTCTGGGCCAGCGCAGGGCAGAGGATGGGAGAGCAGCTGCGCACCAAGAGGTCCCACGGCCCGAGCACCCCACTGCCACCACCGCACCTTCCCGCTCACCCCCAAACGTGTGACAGACTCTTATCTCACCTACGGGTCTACACCAGACCCCACTACGTGAACAGCTGGGGCCCCATCACTCGGGGCCGAGGGGCAACACTGCTGGGTTTCAAGTTGCAGGGGTGACACCCCAGACGGGGTCTTGGCAGGCACACACGAGGCCCTCTGGGCTCCCTCAGTGAGCCTGGCCGAGGCCAGGCTGCTGTAAGAGCTCAGGGCCCAGCGATGTCTCAGAGCAGGCTCCCCTCAGGAGCATCTCAGCCGGGCAGCCAGCAGCCACAGGCTGAGGGGTCTCAGGGATCCCGGAGACGGAAGGTAAGAGCTCACCGACGACAGGGGCGTCCTCTCCCTCTTCAGCACTGCGGTTCAGGCCTCGCACGGCAGACAGCTAGCAAGGCAAACAGGCCTGTGTGATCCCCCCATGCCACGTCCAGCTCAGGGGAGGCAGGAGGAGCCGCCCCCTGCCCCCCGCCCCCCGGCAGGCCCCTCGGCCTTCTCTACTTACAGCACGAGACACATCCTGTTTGACGGAGGCCAGGAAGGCTGACAAGCGCCGCTGCAGTGTCTTCCGAAGATCCTTTCGTGGCCCCGCAAGCTGTGGCTCTGACAAACTGCTCCCCCCGAAATAAAAACAAAAACACCATTCCAGAGATACACAGCACTGGCAGGCAGCGCGCTGAGGCCAGGCCTGCGTTTTCTAGGATGCTACTCGGGAAACTGAGCTTCAGACATCCACAGTCCACACGGGAGGCCTCCTGGGCCTTCAGACAGGGATAACGAGGTCATCACGCACTCAGCTCCGTCCTGTCTGCTGTCTAGACCGCGCTCTCTCAGGACAAAGCCGGCCGCGGCTGGCGGCAGCGCGCTGAGCCCGCTCCTGGCGCACTGGCAGCACCCGCCTGCAAAGACGGGGTTTCCCGCTGCAGCACGGGCGCGCGCCGGCGTGGAGAGCGTCCCCCCGGGGCTCCTGCGTCGGTGAAGTGCCGACTTTTGGTCAACCACAGAGGGCACCTACTCTGAGGCACCACAGTCACGCTGTCTTCACTCTAGGCTGCACACTGTGTCTGACCCGAAGGCCACTTAAATACAGCCAGCACCACAGTCCTGGCGTTACAGAAGTCCCTGCGCTCAAAGCGGATGAAATCACCCACCTAACGATGCCCCCCAGGGTGGGTGGGGCGGCCCATACACGGAGGGGCTCTGCTGTACACCAAGTTGGGACCCACTGCGACAAACGAGGACGTAACAGCCAGGTGTGGTCACCTGTAGCAGGCTTAGCCTCGGCCTACGGCCCTGCGTGGGTGACTGGTCGCGGGGACCGCCCCACCCTGCAGAACCGCTGGCCTAACTGACTAGCCCTTCCATCACCCCTCAGTAACCCTGAAATAAAGAGGACAACACAAAGCTGGCCTTTGTTTTGGGCCCGAAGAACAACCCAGCCTTACTTCACTCGCTCAGCGGTGGGAGTCTGCACCCCGCAAAGCAGCGCCCTGACCGACGCCGTCTGTGAACACGCCAAGCGGCGCCCAGACAGCCCCCCCCCATCTGGGGAGACCCGCATTCTTCAGCATCCGACAGGCCCTACACTGAACGGAATCTGGGAAGACCTGAAAACCTTACCGTGCATGTGACCTTCAACACGACGCTCCTGACACCCAGCGTCCTAGGCGATGTCCCCGTGACGCCGAGGCTCACTGGAGGAGAGAAAAACAGCGTGCTGCACCCTAACGGAAACTACCCTCGCGTGTGCTCTCCAGACCGTCACTTTCAGAAGCCGAGCCTCAGCAAGTCAGGACTCCTCAGCCGTCCTCTCAGACAGGGATAACTCGATCATCCTCGGCTCAGGCGGCGGCCGGTCTCCGGCCCCAGCAAGTTCAAGTTCCGCATCCAACAGTGACACCTCGTGGCTCCAAGCGCACGGGCAGCGCTCACTCAGGTGCTGTCAGGTGCCAGTGTCGGCCTGGCGCACGAAAGGCCTCCAGACCCCCTCAGCTTCCTCACTTTGGTGACGTAGTACACGAAGGGTGACCCACACACCTCCCCGCCCAGCAGGCAACGAGACACACGCGGGCTGGACAGCGTTATGACGAAGCCATGGAGAACGCGACGGCTACACCACGCCACCCTTGCGGCCAGGGAATAACCAGGGCGCCCGCCAAGGCCATCCTAACAGGGTGCCAGCGCGCACCCCACCATGCGCTCGCAGAAGTCGGCGCGACTAACGTTCGGCCCCAACATTTGCCCTGCTGTGCACATGCACAGCGCCAACGGATCCTTCGGTCAAGGTGGGCAAGGACCGGGCCAGTGGAACGAGAAGCCGCCCGTGCTGATGCCACTTACACAACTTACACCCCAAACTTGGCTCGTTCCGCGGGGCTCCGAGGGGGCTGCCTCTGGGGTTCGAATCCTCACTGAGTAACAAACTCGTAACGCTGGCCGCGCCTCTTGGTCCAGTCGGCGCGACCACGGCCCCTCGGACGCGGCTCCCACGCACCGGGGGAGTCCAGCTCCCCAGGCTCCGCC